ATTTCATATACACAATTAAAAGCACGTGGATATGTAAATGTGAATGTAAATAACACAATCTAGCTTGGATTGCTCCCAATAACTAGAAGAAAGTATAACCTCTATCCTCTGTCATAGAGACTAATAACCAATTTTCAACCATAACTTAACTTTTCTGATTGATTTATGAGGTTCATCTTGCTTATCATTTATTTTTATGATCACTTTATTATTTAATTGAGTCTAGCTAGCTCATTATTTTGATGGCTTCTATCTCCCTATATTATACTACGAATGATCAATAAATGTTAAATCGCGGCACTTAAGTTAGAGTAGACGCTAAGAATAAATCCAGCATATACTGGTTTACTAGATAAATACCTGCCATGATGAACGAATCATCTAGAAATGGTCAACTATTATTTTTACTATTTCAACCGTGAACTTAGTATTACGTCTTATTATTCCTCTTTTTAGACTATTATTCGTATTAGTATTAGTATTAGTATTAGTATTAGCTATAAACAGGAAGTTACCTGATCTATCATTACAAGGCTGCTGAATTATGGAATAATCATTCATATAATTAGCAAACAAGTTTTTTGTGAATATTAAACTTTCCATTAATTTATTCTTCATTTTTGGCATTCGCTTAATGTCAAAACTGAGAGTCAAATAAGACGCCATCGTAAGTCCTTGCATCCGTTCATAAAGCCTATCATAATATGTAAAGAATGTGCTAATCGTGAAGAGGTTAATTAATCTTAAAACAGAATTTGAATAACTCGCTAGGCTAAAATATTGGGACATATTGATACTAATTCGAGGCTTATGAAAAAGTAGAGCTCAGTGGTCGTTTGATGATCAAACAACTTGGCAATTTCATATAAGTTCTTTACCGAATATATATTATATTTAGGCTCTTTTCTTAAATATCTTCTTAAAAATTGTGTAATTCTATACACATCCATTGTTAAAAATATAAGTTTAGAATTAGAATCCCCATTCGCATCTTTGGAAAGCAATAAGCTGAGTCTGTCTTAGCGTCATATGGAGAATTGAATTCCTTTCCTACTTAAGCATTCATCCTTTGTCTTTACACACTTTAACTTCAACCACAATTGGAATCTGTGCCATTTAGATGGACCACCACCCTTATTTTATAAGTTGTACCATCCAGCACATATTCTGTACCAGTTTTATTTTCTTAGCACATTTTTGACGGAAGGAGAGCAAATTTTCTCGAAGACTGTATCAACCAGAATTCTTTGATAAAGGAAAATGGCGGCTGTAAATGAGGGCTTGTTCTTTATCTTCAGATAGAATAGACTGTTAAACCTACCACATTTACTCTCACAATAAAAGTAATATCAATAGTTCTTGATTTGGGTAGGAAGAGAAATTAATGATGGCCAAATAAGGTAAGTCGGATGTTCTTTATATTATAGAATACTCTTATACATATTAAGCAGAATGTCTTTTTTCCAATACTATACGTCGCTTCTTCACGTGCTATCTGGTTAGCACTCTACGATCTATTTAGAAATTCCAAGAATAAGCAGAGAAAGATTTTTTGGTCAAGATATGAATGAATTACGAACGAAGAATGCTTCTCTGCACAAACGATCATCACTGACTTACAGGGCAATATGTGGTAATTTGCTAGAAATGTGATTTTATTTTTCATAAAATTTACATCTTTTGATTAAACCACATGCAAATTGTGGTTGTTTGGCAGATTTAAAGCATTTTGACAATTGATGCCAATGGCCTAAATTCGAATCTTCCTAAGGGTGTTGTTGAGACCCGATAAAAGTCGAAACTGCAATCAGGCACGTATAAGAGGTTATACTATAAATGAATCTAATGGAAACGTTAATTTAATTGTGAAATCGCCCAATTTAATTGTGGTGTATCGAACTATCCGCCATTGCACCAATTCAAACTGCTTTTTTGCGCCTCTAGCTCTTTTATACATCTTTACCCTTAACTTCCAAGCGTACTCACAACTTGTGTTCATTAAGGTAGCTATGGTTATATTTCATTCGTCTACCTGTGCGTTGTTCAACTTCCACTCTGATGGCTGGTTTCGCTCCATCCTTGCGCATCTTCTCCTTCAATCTGACGACGAAATAGACGTGCACCTGGTCAGGTGTCAACAGGCAATCGGAAACTCGGCCACTTTCGCCCGAACAATCATTGCCGTCGATGGTTGCCAAGCGATCAGCGGCCGGCAAGCAGGATTGCCCACTTGGCTTAACGACCGTCAATTGTGAAGATACAGAACCAAGCTGTTGCCGCGCCTCTAGTTCCATCTGAAGCTGTTGCTGCCGACCAGAGGATGACGAAGGCTGTAATCGAGACTCCAAGCCTATGGAATCCACCAGACCTACCTGATGCGTCGGTTCTTCAATAGCTTGTTCGGCATCGAATCTCTTTTGTTGTTGCTGTACCTGCATAGGCTGATAAGCTTCATCCGACTCCCCAATAGATCTCGAATCAGATGCAACAATTCGATTTGGACATAAGAGCAACGAAGGCGTTTGGACGCAAGAGTTAGAATGCCACCTGGATGGTATGTGTGATACTTCTGTGGAGATCTCAATGGTTGAGACTTCCTGAGCTTTGCTTTCTAAGTTGGTAGTCGAGTCGTCCACCAAAATAGCCGATTCTATTTCATGACAGTTGGTATTTACTGAGGACGGCTCTCGGCAGTCAAGAGGTGAAGACGATGAGTTCACTTGATTGACAACCCTTTTTTGCTGAGAAAATATGTCTTGAAGTAAAGAAGCAGGTGCAGACGTGAATAGAGCAATTAGGAAGGGTTTCTCGAACCCTAATTCGCACAAAATGGAAGCATGAATAGGTTGATTTGAGAAGTCAAGAGGAACATAAATGGGTAGATGGAAAAAAATTATAGATTAGCATTTTTATTTTAAACTTTATTTATTACATTTAGATATTAAAGAAATGGGCACTATAATATATAAATATTATTATATATAGATGCTTATGTCTATTTTTAACCCTCTGTAGAAGTTAGGGGTACATATCAATATATTTTATTTATTTATTTCTCCTAATCCCAACACGATGAGATTTTTAGTCGAAAGTGTCATTTTATGTAATACGTTATCATTTGTGTCTCATTATAAGGACAACATGATAAATTACTTTTAGTTCACACTTTTTCACAGTATTCTGTCCTAACTAGACTGCACATATTTCAATCATAATGTCGGCGAGACAAATATGGACTCGCTTATATCCAGTGTATCTTTGTACAGAATTGGAACCTGAGCGGACATATATGGATGTCAAATATGATGCATCTATACAGTTGGAAGCAGAACCTAAAATTTTGATTTAATTTAGATGTAACTGCAGAAGTATGAAGTCCCTTAGGCACTGAACACTCACATATGAAGATTTATAATCCAAATAAAAGACTTTTGATAATATCATTAGATTTGAAATAGAAGCTTGTACAACCAAAGCTGACAATAGCTCGTATTTTAACACGGACTAATACTTTTTACGTCGTCGATAAGAGCTATTATATTGCAGTTTATCATTTTTTAAAATAACATTAAAGTGAATTGCAAATTTAGACCACAATCGGAATCCATGTTCAAATCGTTTTCACAACTTATTTTAGAATATTTCATAATCCAAGTTTTTAATTTTTGATCTTTTTATTAGAAGCTTTGTGCGTGATAGACTAAACAATTCATTTTTTCGAAGAAAAAAAAGTTTGCTTTAAAGTCATTAATAATATCAGTTTGCAAGTAGTAATGTTCGATTTTCAGCTTTCAAAATCTGATTAATCATTTCAGATTCTTATAATATGATAGATATAGTGAATG